GCAGCATCTGTCTGGAGAGAGATTAAACAACTTTGGGAGTTTCTGAGCCCATAGTTGCTTAGGTGTGACTCCTGAGTGCAGAGTTGGACTCTCTGTTTCTATTTCCATGTTCTGTGGGCTCCTGTAGCAAAACAGATTCCTTGGGAAAACCCCTCCATTGTGTGGTGGTTTTCCCCACGTCTGTAGCCAATAGTCTGTGTCCTTCCTTAGCAGCACAGGCAATGGGTTTGCTTTGAAGGCTGCTTTTTATGGAAAGATGGAAATGCACTTATGAAATGTCTGAAATGAATAAAAGTTTAAGTAAACTTAGTAGAAAAAGAACTCCTTCTCAATTACATGGTACACCTTCAGTTGTCTTCCCCATTTTTTGTCTGTCAGGTCTAAGTCTTGTGGTAGTGTACCTCAGTGACATCACTCCTCATTGACAGCACAGCCATGACTCAGAGCTTCATCAGAATTGTTTCTGATAGTCACTTTGTGGTGATTGCCTGCTTTTTGTTTCAAGCCTTATTTGTTTTTTCTCTGTTCCTGACTGCTGAGTTGCAAGAAGATTAGATTATTTTATTTTTAAAACTTCCTTTGTCCTAGAACAAGTAAATGTGTGTGCACACTTCAGCTGTCTGCTGTCATCTGTTCCATGGGAGCAGACCTGAACCTTCTGACTTTAAAGGCTCAGCATTGAATCTGCCTGGAGATGACCCAGCCTCAGCAGTTCATCCCTTGCAGTTCTTATGAAGATTCCTTCTGGTCTTTTGCCTGTGCCAATATTAGGGCCACATCTGGCACTTCCTTAGCTTCATCTAATGCTTCTACCAACCCCCAAAATGTTTCCTTTGTGTTCTTAGCTTTGCTCTACTGCTGTATTTTCATTTACACCGTTCCCTGACTCCCTTCAGTTTTCTTGCCCCCCACTCCAAAGCTGCCAGTGCTTCTTGTGTTTCAATGAATCCCAATTTGTATCATAGAATTTACAGATATCAGCAGCAATCATTTAACCTATGACTGGTATGCAGCCTTTTTTTGGAATTCATGTCAGGCTTGTCTTGAGAACAAGATGAGGCTATAGATGATGCAGTTCACTGTATTTGGTTGTTGATGTGGAGCTGTGGTTTTATTTCACCCACTCATCCTCTGTCTCTGTGTCTACAGTAGTGTTTCTGCCACTACATGTGGATTGACAATTTATGGTTTTTTCACTCTTCCAAAATACATTACTAATCAACCATCTTAAATGTTAAATCAGGTTTTGGCCCATATGATGCAAAACATCTAGAGAAAAAACCTAAGAATATTACAGCTTCCATTCAAAGATGTGGTGGTGGTAGGGAAAGCAGCTCTTTGCTGCAGCAGCTCTACTAGGAAGGGAATTGTTCAGCTGTGTAGATGCAGGTATAATTGGAGAAGAGCTATTGGACCATATCATTGAGCAGCTATTATCCACAGAACACATGCAAGTAAAGAGTTGGTTTGTAAGGTTTGGGTCATGCCATATTCCTTTATGAGAAACTATGCTTTGCTTGGCCATAAAGGAAGGAAGTTCAGTGCCATGATTTAAATGTGAACCCAGAGAAAAACTGTGTCCCTGTGACCTGACATGGTGTGTAACTTTGATCTGTGACACAGCAGTTCCTTGGTGTGCCAGCAGTTCAAGACATTGGACATGCACATACAGTTCTTTTATTCCACTGAATTATGAATGAAAAGATGTACCTTCTAAATCATAAATCCCATTTGAATGAGAGACTATTCTTGGTGAAGTTGCAGATTAGCAAAGCAACTAATTGTGACTTGCCCTGTGTCATGTTAACTCTTGATCAATGAAATGAGCATTGCCCTAGGGAAATGCAGTTCTTGGGATCATCACTGATCTGTGAAAGAGGGAAATTTTTAGAAGACTTTTAGAAAAGTCTTCTGGAGATGGGTTCAATCCACTTCTGATTGTTAGTAAAGGTCATTCTGTTTCCACTGGCATTAGGCACACTGGTCCTTCCTTGTAAAGCAAAGCCAGAGTATGGGTTCAATTTAAAGAAAATGCATGCCATTCAATAAATATATGTGCATATGCTTAATTATGGTTTTTTTAATGAACCAAGATCTTAATTCTGCTGTGATTTGCCGTCAGGCAGTGAGAGATAGTACATCAAAGACTGATTATACTTAAGCTTGCATGTTACTCCATTATTAAGTTGATTTTGTTGTTGACTTTTGCAGGCTAATAAATATGGCTCTTGTAAGTAATTGTCTTGTAATTGGGATGAATATTGTCAGGAGTTGTGTTGTTTTTCCACAGTGCATAGAATCATGAACAAGAGATCAGCAGAGCTTTTGCTGTAGCCTGATTGCAGTATCAGCAAATGGAATATTCACTCTTCCAGTCCTTTTTGGTGCTGCTGTCAAGTGGTGGGGAGTACAGACAGCAGGCTGGCATCATCCTTGGTTCCAGCCTTGATTCCATGCTCCTACATATAGGTACATGTGTCCATTCTCACAGGCACACAGAATAAACACCTGCTTGGTTTTATGGCTAAAAAGTGACAAGGTTACCAGTGTCAGATCTCAAAGGGTTGTGAGGGTTGTGGTACTGGTATCCTTTTGCAGATCCACCCAGCAAATGCAGTGGTCAGCCTGGGATGAGCTGGCTGAGCTTAGTGGCTTTTACAGTAAGAAAGCTTACTGACTGCCAGGAATTGGAGCCACCATGAGAGACTCCTCCATCCTTTGCATCATTATTTTCAACCATTTGAAAGTTCAGTCACCTGAAGCTTCTCTTGATGGCCTGTTTGTTTGTCAGTGAGTGATCTCAGGAGCTTCATAAATATTCAGCAGTGTAGCCTTTCTGCCTTCCAGCTGGTGCTTTAGCCTTCTTTTGCAGGAATAAAAGCTAAGCCTTTCAGACTTTAAAAATGGTGCTGACTCCTAACCTGGATAACTTAAAGATAAAAAACAGATTTAGGTACTCTGCAGATGCTCCTTTAATTTTGGTGGTTTGAATGACCATAATTATGTATTTTAAAATAACCATTTCCCATATTTTCTGGCTGTGGAGAAAAAAGGTGCAAAATAAGCAAGGCAAGGGTGGGCATGGGGGAGGTGTGTGTGCAGTCTCTGTGACCTCTCTGTTTAAGTTTTATTACAGGTGAAGCTCTTGGGGCTCTGGGAAATGGTGCCTCCACTCCCCATCCTGTGTGTGGTCAGATGTAGGTGTCTGGACTGACAGAGCCAGTGTGTGGAGGCAGAGATAAAGACTGCTCACATTCCTAAAATCCTTCTTTTTATTTTTGTCCTAATGGAGTCAAGAAGGGTTTCTAGATTTATGGGCTCAGTTTCTTCTCTGCTTTTCTGGCCCAACAAAATCCTTGCTGTGCAGCGTCAGCCGAGGGAGCATCACCATGGATTAAGTGCTCCAACCAAAGCATGTTGAAGAGCAAAGGGATGCCATGAGCACTGGTGTAACAGAAGATAGCAGCTCCCAGCCCATTTTGTAAGGAACCTGACTCTGTCCTTGACTTCAACATATGTCTTGAAAGCTCCTGTTGGGTTGAACCACTGTGGAAACATGGAGGAATACTTAATTTCTTGGTCCCAAGGGGACTGCTGACTTGCTAAGTCTAGTTAATAGTTATGTGAGGTTTGGTAGCTTTGAGTATGAGCAGTTGTCAGGGTCTTGGAAAGCTTTAAAGAAGGAAAATTGCAGATGGGTCACTTTCATGTTCAATGGCAGCAAAGTGGCTGTTTTCTCTTTTGGCATGAGCAACTTCCTTGGCCTGAGTCTCAGACTGGGTGCCTGAGTGTCTCAATGAGCCCTGCCATGATGATCATGTCAGATCCTCTGGCTTGCCTGAGTAAATCCTACTTATTTGTCATCAGAAGAGCATGTAACTGTTTTCCAACTGATTATGTATCCATAGAGCATCCTCCTCTGGCCCCAGTTAGAGGCTGAAGCCTATGTGACAATGTATTTTCTGAGTGAAGCCTTGTTAATTGAGCGTGTAAATGTGTAATTGTCTGTACAACTATTCAGTTGACATGGTTTTAGTTTGCATACAAATATGGGAGCACAGTCATGCAGCTGAGCAAACTGTCCAAGATCAGATGCTTAAATAAATAAGTGCATTCTGCACACAGATGTGAACACCCTTAAAAAGATCAATCCAGTTGTGGTCACCTCTTTTTTTCTTTTTTTCTAATCTTATTTCTATATGCTTATTTTCATTCAAGTCTGCAACATACTACAGATTTTGTGTTAACTTGATCCTTTTCCCTACTAAGTTTCGCTGGAGTGGGAATAGGAGTTACCATAGGAATTGTTCAGAGGTTGCCCTTAATGTATGTGCTTGCTTTTTGTGCAGTGGTACCTCATACTCACAATGACTGGGGATATAATACCTTTAAAAATGTTCTGTGCATACAAAATATTAATGTGAGGTGTGGGGTTTTTTTAGACGAAAGGCTGCTTTAATAATGGGACTTGCTGGCAGTTGTAGTCCAGTGCAACTTCTGAGAAGAAAAAAGGGCATAAAATTTGCAAATAATGGTACAATTGGAATTTTCTCTGTACTCAGTGGTTTCTCTGCTTGGAAGGTGCTGTTTTCAAAGAAAGGGTGATCTGGCAGTTTCATTCTGGCAGTTCTTGTCTGTTCTGTGAATAAAACTCCAAACATCTGTTGGGGGTCTGCAGTATTCATTTACTATGAAAGGAAAACACAGTGATACTGCTTTTCTTTATAACTTGTCCTTTTTTTTATATAGAATTGAACACCATTTTTGGTCTTTTGGAGGTGATTTGAGATAAGTATATAGGAAGTTAGTTTCAATAACATGGGAGAAGTTCCTGAATAAGGATAGAGCTGTGCTGTGCATATTATTGACATCTTTATCCACACAAGGGTAGTCTGTTCTTAAAATAATGCTTTGGTTGGGGGTGTGAATGGTGTCAGGGTTGGGAATGCCATTTCAATCTGACAGCCACTCAACAGCCCTGTGTCCTTGTTTCTCCACAGATGTCGCTCCTATGAGGATTGCTGTGGCTCAAGATGCTGTGTAAGAGCTCTCTCTATCCAGCGACTATGGTATTTTTGGTAGGTGCAGGGCATTCGAGAATTTTGTGTTTGTTCTTGTCTTGTTGGTCAGACTTAAATCAGGATATTGTCAGCCCTGGTATTTTAAACTACAGTAGGTGCAAGTATGTAGGAAGGTATGTGTGTACATAGAAATGCACAAATTTTGTTTCTTTCTTATAAAATTCTCCTGATGTAGTAAGAGAACACTGGAAAAGGAGGTTAATCATGTCAGGCTGACCTTTCCTGCTTCTGCATCCTGCTGCTTTTTACAAGCAGTGGTTCCACTTTTATCCAGAATTGCGGAATTCTTTATGCCTGTCCCAGCTATTACCAAACAGCAACATTCTTCCTGGTTTTTTTGGGCACTCAGTTTTAAAAGTGGATCCTATAAGCAGGATTGTGCTTTTAGGGAGGATTTAATATAGTCCTGCCAGCTGAATTGAGGCTTCAATTAAAAAGGAAGAGAAGTACATTTATGGCTGTGAGGATTTCACTGGAGATGACAGCAAGGAAAAGAAGGCAGAAAGACTGAGCTTGTGAAACCAGCAGCAGTAATCTGGATATAGCTTAAACTAATCGCTGCTATATGCATAATGAAAAAATAAGGTAAATTCCTTTTGGAGTGAATTTAAGAAAGCACCTGAATAAAACCTTCTCATTACAGTTGAGAGAAAGGAAAGGCTCCCTTGAAAACCTTTTTTCAGGCATTTTAATGTGGAACTTGAAGACTGATTTTTAAAAAAGCCTTCAAAACTGAAACAAATAAACAGAGAGAAACAGAAGCCTGATGTATACTATAATACAGAGATTTCCCAAAGCTGACTGTGGGATTTCAGTGTACAATCCTTACTGATATAAGTGAAGAGCTCTCTATCTCAATCCCTGGGGTGACGTTGTAAATCTCTGTTTCTCTGCTCTGAAAAAAATCCTTTGCAGGAACACTGCCAAAGGGGAATGTATAAATATTGGCTCAGGGAAAAAGAACCTCCTTCTACTCTCGTTTCTAATGTAGAAACAAGAACAGAGTTTGAGCCTTTGCATGAAGTAACTCTTGCTGCCATTCTGTGCCACAGTCTTCCTCTCAGCCACCTGGGAATTTTCCAGAGATAAGCATGGTGTGTAGGCTTGCCTCTGGCCAACTTCCTTGCCTTCCAAAAAAGCACAATTGTCATTGTCTTCCAGTAAAAGGCCATGAAATAAGATGACAATTACAGGCAGAAGAACCATTCCAATTTACAAGAGCTTTTATGAGTCACTGGAGTGTCTGGTAACTGATCAAGGAAACACAGTGAAAGCCTCTGTCTAAAGACCAAAATCTGTGTGCCCTTGCTGCATGTTCCTGTTTCCACCACACCAGGGCAAGGAAATGATGAGGACAGTTTAATTAGGTTGGAAAGGATGCTGAGAGAAGGAGAATTGTGGCTAAATAATGTATTTTTTTTTTGTGGAGAATGTAATATCCCATGTAGGAAGCAAAATTTGTCGCTGTCAGTACTGAATGCTTCAGTCTTCTGGCTTGAGCTTAAGTGCCAGCTACTAAGTATTTCCCATGGGACTTGAAATTAAAATGTTGAGTTAATTTAAGAATATCTGAGATTCTTCTTTAAATGGCAGATGCAGAGCAGTATTCCTCTCTGTACTCCACGAACATCCTGAGCAGCCTAAATGCTGTGAGCCTGGGGCCTGCATCCAAGAGGTGCAGTTTGAAACTGTACAGACCTGGAATTTCAGTTTAGCATCCCAGTGGCCAAGGTCATGTGTGAACCTGAACTTTTGAAAAGTTCAAGTGTGTTTTACTTTTGGGTTACATGCCAGAGAACACTGACAATAGTACTAATCACGGAAGATGTCCCTAATACATCTAGAAGTGCTCCATGAGTGCTATCCCAAATGACAGACCTGCTCTCAAGAGGCAACCTGTTTGAGAAATCCTGTTAAAAGTTGTAGGTTGATGTATTCTCAGTGAACAGTCTGGATTTAAATGCTGCCTGAATGTGCAGGTTTTGACTTCCCTCTTCTTTTTGCTTAGGTTCCTTTTGATGATGGGAGTTTTGTTCTGTTGTGGAGCTGGTTTCTTTATCCGAAGGCGGATGTATCCTCCTCCATTAGTAGAAGAACCTACTTTTAATGTGTCTTACACCAGACAACCAGTCAACAATGCATCAGGTCAGAGACTTCTCATAACAAGTTTCACTGGTTTCTTACCTTGGCCAAGGCACTAAAAAAGGATGGGTTTTGAGCTTTTGTTTCACTGGTTTTTGGACACTGTGCAATTTGTACAAGGGATTGCACTGCACTCAGACATGCATCCACCTCCTGCAGTGAGTGATGTTCTCAGCCTTTCCAACAGCATTATTCAGCTGCAGTGTACAGAAGGGGTTTTGAAACACATGGGATGACAGAACTTTCAGTTCTGTTTTGGTTCCTAATACCTTTACAGGTGTGTGTCCATGTTTGGAAGGAGGCTAGCAAGCTCTCCCTTTGCAGTGTAGACAAAATGATGGGTGTCCAAATTCAACAGTCACAGGAAGAAAGAATTTTAAATACAATTGATAACGTCTGCCAGAGCTGAAGGAAAGCCTAGCATTTTCTTCCACAATCTGGCCATCTTGCAGGTTTTTTTGATTTGCCTTCAGTGTTCTGTCCTGCAGTCTTTCTGTGCCAAAGTGCTCTTTTTCCCCTTGTTAGTCTGATTGCTGTCTCTCTAGTAAATAATTACTGTGAGCATCAGGAGGACCTGCCTAGTGAAGGCTCCTCTGCAAAAATTGCTCTCTAAGTTTGTAATTTCTTTCTGTCTGGTAGCTAGTTCCAGTTGGGAACACTCCTAGGCCTTAATGGTTAAAAAGATGCTACAGACACAAACTGACACTTCTTTGTTTAAATTCTAAGGGGTTTTTAGGGCTCCCATTCTGCATCTGTTTTTCTCCTTAACTGAACAGAGAGCATTTTGCAGCTGGGGGGGAGCCAATCTAACTAGAGTAATATTTTTAAGCCTGAGAAATAGCCTGGAGTTTATGTGAACAGAGAGTGTCTTTGGCTGAACTGATAAACACCAGATTTAAATTTGGAGCAGTTTTACTCTTTCATGGTGCTTCATGGAACATTAATTGTGGGCAAATATAAAATAAGCACAAGCTCTTTGATGACCTGATTATGGCACCTGTTTTCAGACTGTTACTACTGTTACTTAAAAGCTTTGGGCTCTGAGCTAACCCCACAATTTATTTTATTTTTTATTTTTAGTTTTTTCCACTGTTCTAGAAATATTTAACAGCAAAAGCAATGAGAATTAGTAGTCAAGCAAGTTCCCATTTTCCAGTAATTACTCTTCTGGGTTTGGTACCAGTAGCCAATTCACTGTTGAGGTGGAGCCCTCAAAATGTGGCTCATTGCCTATCTCATTTCTTCCCTGCAGAGATAGCAGCAGCATCTTCTGCCATTCCAGAAGCATCTGCTGGGAGTAGTGCTCTTCTGGGAGCCTGATTGCAAGAATGGAAGGGGAAGATCTCTTAGAAGTTGTGTCATTATAGGAAATACAGACTGGCACCAAAAGAAGAAAACCTGTTGCTCAGCCATGACTTTTTCCCCAGTCCATCTTTATTTAAACAGACAGAGAGGGAAAAAAAAAAAAAAGCTAACTTAGATCTTGAGATATTCTGTGACTTCAGTTGCATTAAGTCATCTTCCACCACCCACTGTGATATCTGAGGAGGGTTACACACCAGCTTTGTTCTTATGGCAGCAATCTCTGTTACTCCTTATGTGTCACAGCCAAGGAATTTTGTGTTTGGCCATATATTTGCTTTCCTTGTCCCTGCAGGCTCCAACATAATTTCCTAATATGAATCTATGCAAAGCAATCTTGTCCCATTGTGTTAGCCAGCAGTGACTGACTGCAGCTTGGCTCTTTGCTTCATACAGGTTCACCTCTAAACTGTGGGAGGGAAATTATCCATCTGAGCTTCACTCTGGCTTATCAGCAGATCCAGGACACCACAAAATAATCTCTGAAGTCCTTTTGTAATACTTGACACTTGAGTCAGGGCCACAGTAGAGACTCCTTTGTTCATCTGGGATCCCACACCTCTCCTCTCTGCAGACAAAAAGCTTTTCTGTCAGAGCAACTGAACAGGGCTCACTGTTTCCTCTTTGAAATGGTAGTTGCTCGGGGCAGTGGTGCCCTTTCATTCACTAAGTGATTTCCATTGGATGCAAAACTCAAACTTTTTAGTAGTATCTGAAGAGGTGAATGCAGTCCTGCCTGCCTGTTTTTTTTCTGGAAGGGAGAAAGACTCCTTGTCCTTGCTCTGATGAACACTTTGAAAACCTTGTCCGAGTATGCAGACACAGGCCCTGGGGGAGCACAGCCTGATGCCTGTGCTGTTGCTGATACCTTTTCTCTCCTTTTCTTTCTTTCAGGGTCACAACAACCTGGAGTGCCGTATTACACAGATCCAGGTGGACCTGTGATGAATCCCATGGCTATGGCTTTCCACGTCCAGCCCAATTCCCCACAAGGAAACCCGGTTTACCCACCCCCACCTTCCTACTGCAACACACCACCTCCCCCATATGAGCAGGTGGTGAAATCCTCCACATGAGGACTCTGGCTCTCTGACCTGACTGTGTGAGAAGAAGGTGCAATTGCAAAATGGCCATGATGGAGGGCACCTGCCCTTTTGAACACTTGCTAGTTCTCCAAGTCCTCTCTCCTTCCCTTCCCTGCACCTTTCCTCATTAAAGTTACTTGCAAAAGGGTGATTTTTAAATTTTTTTTCTTTTTTCTTTTTTTTTTTAGTAAAAGTGGATTTTTTCTTTTTCTTCAAAATGAGAGAAGTTGTCTTTGTAATGCTTTTAATGGAAACCTATATTTAAAACCTGTATGTCTTTCTCTTTATTTATTGTTTGTTTCAAACAAGGTTTTAATTGCGTCGTGGCAGGTTACTGATAGCAGTTCTTGTGACCCCAGAGTGATGTGCAGCCTCCTAAGACCCCACAGCAGAAATGTCCTCAGCTAAGGGAAACGACAGACAAAGAAGATAAAGGTAGAAGCAGCAGGGCAATGATTTTACCAGAAATTGTGACTACCATCTTTTGCTTTTAGTCTTTTCTTTTACATCTCAGTTCTGATGGATAACAGAAAGATGCTCTGATAAAAATCACTGTGACTAGAGTACCAGTATTGCTTGAGTTGTGGCAGGGGCTCTGCCAAGTGCCCTAGAAAAGAGGGAGTTGTTACTTTAAATGATGCATCCAGAATTAAGGACTGGGACTTGAGTGTTTCTTGCCCATCATGTGAACTTCACCTATGTGTTTGGTATCTTGGCTCCCCTTGTTTTGCCAGCACTGAGATTGTATGAAATAGACAATGACCTACATGTTGGCTTGAGAGGAAGGTGTTACAATCTCAGAACTATTTTTACCTCTTGACAGAACAGTGAGAAACACTGAAATGCATAAGTTTTCTTCCCTAAATTAGAAAATATTTACAATAAGAAGGAATGGGCGCATAGGTACAAGTTTACTCCCTTTGGCATTGATGGGAGTTTAGTCCCTGAGAAATAGTATCTTCCATTACAGTCTTACTGCTGCCACAAAGAGTACCAAGTAAAGCTGTCATCTTAGGTGATGGATCTGTAAATCTCCTCTCCTCTCTAGGTCAGAAAAGTAATAACTTTTTGGGACAGGTTCTTAATAGCATTCTTTGACCTGATGCACAGATGGTTTGGCTTTCAATATCTCTTAGCTCTTCATGTATTTTGTTGTGAGTGCTCATGGCCAATCCTCTGAGTGACCACAAATGAACATCTTTGAATAAACACAGAGCCCCTTTGCCTCTGAGGGCTCTCACACCCATCCATGTCTAGCAAAAATTTGAAGTTGCTCTGAAACATGACTTTACTAATGTGACCTTCTCCCTTTGTGTATATTAAGTCATGTCACTGAGCAGTGACAAAAAAGAGATGCCATTGCCTCCTGCTGCTGAAGGACCTGCAGAATAAGAGCTGAGGGTTAAGAGTCCCATGTGGTCTTTTGAATACCAGGTGAATGCTCCTGTGTGACACCAGCCAGGGCACAGGAGTTTCACTGTGGTGGTTTGGAGTCATCTGAAGACCCTGTGTTGCACAGGGAGCCAAAGCTTTTATTGCTGTTGTTCTGCGTCAGTGGCTTTTGAGCTTGTTTCTAGGTGTCAAGCTGGATTTGCAAAATATCCCTTTTTCTGTGAATATGAGTGTCTAACAGAAAAACTTGTAAGGGCCACTGTTTCTTTCTGCTGGTGGAATCAGTAGCCACCTGGAGCAGAGGTAGCTCCATCTGGAGGAGTTCATTCCTGCGTACCTGACTTGGGTGAAATTGTAACCAAGGCTTTTCCTTACTGTGCATCACAATAAGGGACAAAGCAAAGTACTTCTGTGTGTGCAGTCTTAGCTTGAGGGACACTTCAGATAACAAAAAAGTGCATTTTATGGATGAATACGAGGTCCATCTGCACATCACAACTGTATATATTTTCTTAATTAGCTTGCACTTGATGTGTGAAAGCTGTGTATGTCACTATGGTTGTGTTTACAGAACATATTTTTTTAAAAGCAATTCCAACCTTTTTCTGTCAATAGGAATTACAGACCTCATTTTATAGATAGGTGTTGTTAAGTCCTTTTATATTATAAAATGTATCATCTGTGACAGCTGGCATTGTCCTGGACACACCGAATAGAAGCCTTTGTACAGTGAAATTCAACTTCAGGTGAAATTCTCCTGAAGTCTGGCTCGTTTATTTCCTAGTGTTGATGGATGACACTACCTCATACAACACAGGGAATGCTCTGCTAGCAAACTTGCTTGATCTTTTCTTGAAAACACAGCACCTGCGTGGGCATCCATAGGCGTTAATTGCAGATTGTTTACATGCCTTTCCTCCAGTTGCCTCACCAATTCCAACAGGATTTTACTTGGCACTGTCCATGCCCTAGGAGCTGCCAGCTGCTGCAGCTTTGCTATTGTGAACTTCCCCATGGGGTTTGGTTCTTTATCTGCTGGGATTCTCTGGGTGCAGCCACTGCATCCTCTCTCAAACACTAGAGAGGTTTTGGTGCCTCCCTGAGGCAGGGTGGTGTTCTGACTGCAAAATAAGGTTGGTTGTCATGGCTGGGAGCCCTGGGGATCTGTGGGGCACTCCCCTGCACCTTCCCAGAGGCACTGGACCAGTGTTCAGCTGACTCCCAGCCAGCCTTTGAGATCTACCTCAGGAAGGTGATTTTTGTGTCTTGTCTCCTGGTTCTTGCAGTGAGGTTTGATCCAGGGTGGTTAAACCCCTTGACAGGGCTTGGCCAGAAGGAGCTGCTTTAGTGGAGCCACTGAACCTGGGTGGGGAGCCAGGAGCATGAACAATGTAACCCATCGAGTCCTTTCTTCAATTCTGCATCCCCAAAATGTCTGGTGTACCTCTGAGGAGGCAGGCACCAGACAGGGGTCTCTGCCCCTGTGACCTGGCAGCAGGAAGAATGAGAAGGGGATTATTGCCCTTCTGCTGAAATATCCAACTATGCTGCTTCATGGGAAGAGGCACCACCAGTGACTCTTGGTTCACCTTGCCTGTAGCTCTGGTGGGGCCTGTGTTTCATCACTTTGGGAAGTGATAATGTAGTGACAACTTTTTATGGTTTGTGGGTGTTTTTTGGGCTTATTTTTTTCCTTTGGAGCCTTTGTGACAGCTTACACTGCTGTAACAACAAACAGCTGGAACTATATTTTCCAAAAAGGTATTCAGACCATGTAAAGCAAAGAAGGTTTTCTTTCTTCCCTGCTTTAAAAACCCCAACTCCAAAACCTCAGATAGGTTAGCTCCATATACATATATCCAAAACGTCACTTTTTGGCACACAGGTCAGCCAAGAAGCCGTAACACTTTTTCAGATAGTGAAGCCTGTCTTCTTCTTCTGATCTGACATTGCTAATTGAGTAGGTGGAACAGGATGCCTTTGTAGGCCCTGTGGCCGTGGGAACCCTCCCCTCTGATGTCACCAGGAGCTGAGCTGCCTTACAGTCTGTACTATTTGGCAGGGAAGTGACTACAGAGACACCATGCAGGGCAAGATCCAGCATGAGACAGCTTTTACAAAGCAACTGCTAGATAATAAGGCAATTAAAGATGAGAGGTGCAACTGGCAGCCACTGTTCCAAGCTGCCATGTGCTGCAAGGTGAACGTGGCAGCAGAGAAGGCAGAGGGAACAGTGACAAATTAAGCAGCCCTGCCTTCCTGCACCAATCTGTTATTTTAGCTTTATGCAGTGAGAGGAGTCACAAGGATGGATGTCTCTTGACCTGTCCCACTCTGCTTCTCTCCTGCTGCCTAACCTTATCTTACCTAATAGCTACAAGCTGGATTTACCACAATCCACTTGTAGATGTCGAGGTCCCTGTGCACAAATCACACTGGCCCTGACTGGAACCAGTGAAAACATATGGGAAAAAAGTGAACAGTTTCAGTAGGAAAGGCTGCTGCATCAAACACCCTGCTGGGCAGGGCTCAGGCAGCACAGTGGTGACTCTGCCCCAGCTGTGAGGTGACACACAGCACATGCACTGCCTCCCATGCATCTCTCATGTGCTATTTAGCTGTTAGAGATCTGCTGTGCTAGAGATCAGGTGAGGTTATAAGCTACACCTGAATTTGTACAGATTGTCTGCAGACCAGAACTGATCCTCTCCATCCAAAGAAAGCAGCAGTTTCTCTTGGTGGCCAAGATGGCCATGAGTGGTACAAAGGGCAGTGTGAAACAGAAATACTACCCTGGGCCTGCAGCATACTTGATGTTTCCTTCCGTTAAAGCCTAGCTAGAGGATCATTTCATACTTCCTCAAAGGTGGAAAACAGCTTTTACTCAGCTGGACAGGGAGATTTCATACATGTGTTTTAAAAACCAGTTCATCCTGAGTCTGGCTTTAGCAGCAAACTCTTCAACAGGATCTGTGTGGCCACAAAGGAAAGCAGAGCTTTGCACTAAGCAACGTACACTAAAAATCATCTGGGAGCAACAGCAGGAAAGCCACCTGCAGAGCTAGGAAAATTGGAAGGTTACAAACCCAGCAATCTGCCCTCTTTCTGGCATGTGTTTCATCCTGCAGGACTATAAGATAGGGAAGCAGCTCGGCAGTCAGTTCAGTGGGACAGCTATCACCACAGTGCTGGAGGGAAGGAAGGAGAACCACAATGAAGAAAAAAACAGACTCACACAAATTACCACCACATAGCTTAATCTTTACTAATAAAGCCAAAGAACAAAACATCAGCATTTTTTCCTCTTTTTCTGCCCAAAGGGCATTTCCATTTTTAACACTACTGCTTTTTGCAACAGATGAACTATTACACACAGACAAAGCAAACCAGGGAATATTAAGACATTTTCTACATTTGTAGTTTGATGTCATTTCTGACGACAATGCCTTGGTGAAATGCACTTTTTCACCTTCACACTGTAGCTTTCCTTAAGGGGCCACCTAGATACCTCAATGCTGTGACAAACAGAAAGGAGGAGCCACGGGGAAAGTCACATCAGGAAGATGGGGCAGATGCACTGTCAAGACACTTCCAGCTCAATACATTTCCAGTCTTACTCAGTTCTGAGAGGGTTCTGCAGAGAAGGATGGTGCCAGGCCCCACCATGGCAGAAGGCTGGCTATGGTACCAAAGAGCAGGTAGCTGACTTGCTCATTATCTTGACAGGTACACTCCAGCATCCTGGGGATCTGCTCTGCATTCAGCTG